CCAGGAGATTTAGTATCTCTGCTTTAATGTTTAGATCTTTAATCCATTTTGACTTTAGTTTAGTGCATGGTGATAGACCTGGGTCAAGTTTGAGTTTTTGGCATGTAGAGAGTCAGTTTTTCCAGCACCATTTGTTAAAGAGGCTATCTTTCTTCCAGTGAGTGTGTTTGGCCACTTTATCAAAGATAAGGTGGCTGAGTGTGTTCATAGGGGCTGCAGTGTCTTGTAATCTATTGCATTGATCCTCAAGTCTATTTTGTTGCCAGTACCATGCTGATTGTATCACAGTAGCATTGTAGTATAATTTCAAGTCAGGAATTGTAATGCCTCCTGCCTTGTCTTTATTGCCCAGAATTGCCCTTGCTATTCTAGGTTTTTTCCAGTTCCAGATAAACTTTAGGAATGATTTCTCTAGGTCTGTGAGTTATGTTGGTGGTATTCTGATAGGGATTGCATTAAATGTGTACAGCAATTTTGGGAGTATGGCCATCTTCTCAATATTGGTTCTTCCTATCCAGGAGCATGAGATAGCTTTCCATTTTCTGAAATCCTCTACAATCTCTTTTTTAAGAGTACTGTAATTTTCATTGAAAAGATCTTTGACTTCTTTATTTAGGTTAATTCCAAGGTATTTCATTTTCCTCAGTGCTATTGTAAAAGGTATTGTTTCTATAATTTCCCTCTCAGTGTGTTTGTTGTCTGTGTAGAGGAATGCTATTGTCTTTTGCGTATTGACTTTATAACCTGCTATGTTACTGAATTTCTGTATTAATCCTAGTAGCTTCTTGGTGGAGTTTTTTTGGTCTTCCAATTAATGTTTCATGTCATCTGCAAGTAAAGATAATTTAACTTCTTCTTTGCCTATTCTTATTCCTTTTATTTCTTTCTCTTGTCTAATGGTTCTGGCTAAGGATTCCAGAACTGTATTGAATAGGAGGGGTTTTAGAGGACATCCTTGCCTTGTACCAGATATAAGAGTAAAAGATTTCAGTTTTTCCCCATTTAGGATTATGTTAGCTATTGTGTTTTCATAAATGGCATTTACCAAGATTAAAGTGGAGGCCATCTACTCCAATTTCTGTAGGACTTTGAACATGAATGAGTGTTGGATTTTGTCAAAAACTTTTTCTGCATGAATGGAGATGATCATGTGGTTTTTAGTTTTCGCTCTATTGATATAGTGTATTACATTTATAGATTTTCAAATATTGAACCATCCTTGCATCCCTGGGATGAATCCTACCTGGTCATGGTGTATGATCTTCTTGATTATTTGCTGTGTTCTATTTGCTAGGATTTTATTGAGGATTTTGTTGTCTAGATTCTTGAGGAAGAATGGCCTGTAGTTCTCTTTCTTAGTTGTGTCTTTCCCTGGTTTTGGTATGAATAGAATACTTCCCTGCAGATATGATTTTAGGAGGATTGCTTCATTTTCAATTTCACTGGAGAATTCGAGGAGTATAGGGACTACGTCTTCTGTAAATGTCTTGGAGAATTCAGTTATGTATTCAACCGGACTTGCACTTTTCTTAGTAGATAGGTTTTTAATTATATCTCGTGTTTCACTGGCTGTTATTGGGCTATTGAGAGTGGTTATATTTGTTGATTCAGTTGTGGTAATTTGTACCTTTCTAGGAATCTGTACATTTTTTCTATGTCTTCTATTCTGTGAGAGTAAAGATTCTCAAAGCAGCTATTGATAACCTTCTGAATTTCCACCGGGTCTGTTGGAATTACACACTTTTCATTCCTTATTTCTTGTATTTGAATTTTTTTCTTTCCTCTTTTTGATAAGGTTAGCTAGGGGCTTATTGATTTTATTTAATCTTTCAAAGAACCAGCTTTTTGATTTTTTAATTCATTGAATTGTTTTACTCATCTCAATTGAATTAATTTCTGCTCTAATCTTTGTGATTTCTTCCTGTCTTTGGGCTCTGGGTTTGGTTTGCTCTTCCTTTTCCAGTTGTTTAAAGTGCAGCATTAGGTTATTTATTTGTTCCCATTCTGTTTTCTTAATGTGTGAGCTCATAGCTATGAATTTCCCTCTGAGAACTGCTTTCATTGTATCCCATAAGTTATGATAAGTTGTGCTTGAAGTTTCGTTGAATTGTTCATATGGTTGAATTTCTTGTTTAAGTTCATCTGTGACCCATTGGTTGCTGAGTAGGGTGTCATTTAATTTCCATGCACTTAGGTTTTTTTTTTCTGGTTTCTTTTGTCATTTGTCTCATGTTTCATTGCACTGTGGTCAGATAATGTGCATGGGATAATTTCTGTTTTTTTACATATACTTAAGCATGACCAATGGACCAGTATGTGGTCTATTTTAGAAAATGACCCATGTGCAGCTGAGAAAAGTGTGTATTCAGCTGTGTTTGGGTGGAAAACTCTGTGTATGTTCACCAAGTCCATTTGCTTTAA